TTGGAGCAACATGGGCTAGTGGAAGGTGTCCCTGCCCATGGAAGGAGATGGAACTTTTAAGAGTCAGTATTTTTTAACTCAGGCATTTAACAGGCAAAAAAAAACCCCACCCCAGACAGGTGGATTTTATTTATTATCACTGAAACAAAAACCTCCACCTGGTCCCTGAGCGACATGAGAATCCAGGAACATCCCATGGGACCAATCCATTGGCACTTGGAACCAGCACAAAAATGCAGCTTAAGTAGTTTGGAAAAATATCATAAAGTAAGGCAAGAGGACTTTTCCCATTCAGTCATTTCGGAATTTCTATGGACTGAACATGAGAACTTATGGATTTTAAGCAGTAAAATCGAGTTGATGAGGAAGATCCCAGTATGGGCACATCAGGGAGTTAATGCAGGACCAAAACACAGGAATGCTGCAGCACATGGAGAGACTTTATGGATTGCAGAGGAAACAGAAAGTACAGGGAGCTCTTGTGCTGCGGAAAGGGAAACCAGGGGCCTCTGCAGATACAATCAGGCCCCAAAGGCAGGGCTGGAGATAAATGAGGATCCTGATCCGCACTGAAGGAAAGAGAGAGCAGGGAAAGGAAGATATAAAAGTGGTGTTTCCCTTTTGGCAGCTCATCCACTGCTCCCGGCCTGGGAGCTGGGAATGTGCTCAGAGCTCAGGGGTGGAAACCTTTTTCTCCTCCAGAAAGGTCTGAAATGCCTGTGGCAAAAACATCTGGATTTCAGCAAGGTGGAATTATGTTTACCCACAGCTCTCACAGCAGGTGGGACTTGGTGACATTCCAGCAGGGAATGTCCCACTTCCCCAGAAAGAAGATCCAATTCCACAGTGGCTGCCTTCGAGAACATCCCAAAACCTGGATTAAAGCTTCCCAAAACCTGGATTAAAGCTTCCCAAACTTGGATCAAACACCCCCTTCCCATGCCTGCAGTGGCTGCATTTGCACCTCCGTGTCCAAGCCGAGGTTCCCGAGCTCTTCCAGCAGATTGGATAATTTAATTTAGGCTCAATTTAATTATGGTTTTAATTATGCTTTCAGTGGAGGTACTGAAGGTCTTTCCCAGAGCTGCTGCTCCAAAGTGGTTTTATTTGCCTGAGGAATGTTTGCAGGAGCACGAAGAGCAGCATCACCTGTTTTCCCTGGTTTTCCCTGTTATCCCTGTCATGAGTTATGGATCTAAGGGACCAGGAAAACTCAACTGCACAGTGGGGTTTTAAAAATCCCTGGACAGTTCACCTGCTGCAATGCAGATTTCACGTGGAATTTGACAGATGATCAGGAAGGATCTCCACATGTTCCCCCTAAATGTCCATATCCTGGAGTTATTCCAGATTAGTTTTGATACAATAAGTATGATTTATGTTTCTCATTCCAAGGAATATTTCCCACTACTGAACAAATCCCAAACACCTTCGTGGCGCACAGTCATTCTGCTTCCAATCCCTTTGTTCCAGAGGAGAATGGATGTGATTCCACCTCTCCAAAAAAAGTGTGTCTTTGCTACCAACCAGGAATTTTAATCAGCTGAAGGATACACCAAAAACCCCCCAGATCTGAGCAATAATATCTGCAACCCTTGTCCCACAGTCTCTAAAATAAAGGCCACATGATTTGGGAAAGATTCGTTCTGAAAACCATCACCATTTCCTCAGGTAAATAAAAAGTTGGGATGCAGAACCAGGTAAGTTGATATTTTCAACTTCCAGAACAAAAGTTAATCAGATTTAATAGATATTTCATGCAAAATGCACATTGCTGAGTGATATAAGTCCTATGATAACTACACACATCTTACAAAGATAAATCTGCAGAGCATTTGTAGGTTGGGATTTTTTTTTATATGCTCCATAAAGGTCAAGAAAATCCAGGAAACAGTTAAAATTCAAAAGCAGAAAGAACTGAAAAAAAGAAAAAAAAAAAGAAAATAAGCATTTGGCCTCTTAGTACTAATTTCCTTTTTCTTTACATTGCTCAACATCCCTCCTCAAATTGAGCCCTAATCAACAACCACTTCACAGCTCACATTTTATGAAATAATGCAGTTGATGCAATCAAGTCCAGCCAAATGTTTCCCTAAAGATGTTTCCATCATTCCCATTCCTTAAAAAAAAACAAAACACACACACACACACAATAAAATAAAAAAAGCTCTTCCTCCATCCCTATTTTACAGCAAGAATAAACACACCACCGCATCTTAAATCATATTTGGATTAAAACATAAATAGAATCACTTGGGGTTTCTTTCTGGTTGGTACAACATGTCTTTGTCCAGGAGAGGGGGGGAAAGGAAAACCCTCAACCTGCTCATTTTTCCACAATTGCCAACATTCAGCACTAAATAAATGAAATTCAGCCTATGGAAACACAAACCATAACCTGAAAGCTCATCAGCATGTGCAGGGGAGGGGGGGAAAAATGCCCCCAAAACCCCAACTGGCCCCAAACCTCTTTTTCCTAACGAATATTTATTCCACTTCCATACTTCCAGGCTCCTCTGCTCTCTATAAAGCCCTGAAACCAAGCACCTTTTTGGTATTATTCCCCCCCACCCCCCCGACATCGATGGACTTCGCTGCCCTGGAAAAGCCACGACGCCAACAAACAGAGGATTCGAGCCGTAAATACCCAAACACACCCCCCACCACCTACAAAAAAAAAAAAAATAAGGGAAGTAACCCACAAGCGGTATTTTCTATGGAGAGGAGAAATAACGCCGCCTTACATCGCCCGACCTGCTTCTCCCCGCTCTCATTCCTACGGATGCTGCGCCGACATTCCCCCCCCCGCTCCCTCTCACCGAACCTTTTAGCCGTTTTCAAACCCGTCCGACCATTTTAAAACCCATTTTGACCATTTCAAAAAACCCATTTCGACCGCTTAAAACCCACCGTGACACACACACACCCCCCCCCCAACCCCTGAAGGGCAGCGGTTTTGGGTTGGGGTGGGGGGGGGGGTGGCACCACAACTCCCATCCCGCGGAGTTGCAGGCGGGCTCGCCGGTATTCCTGGATATTCCCTGATATCCCTGCCGCCGTCCCCACGTGCCCCTCGGGATATTTTTTTTTTGGGGGGGGGGGGGGACGACACACACACCCACAGCCCGGGCATCCCACCCCTGGCACGGGAGGGGGGCTCAAAACTGGGGGGGTCCAGCCCACTGAGCCCCCCATGGGGCAAATCCTGACACCAAGGAGGGGGGAACAGCCCCGGGGGGTGCAACAGGGTTTATGGGGGGCAACA